AAACCCAACCAAAACCACTTTAACCGTAGTTAACTCCCCAAAACCCATCTCTTCTAACTCATAAAACTCTCTCCCTCTCTCACTCTCTCACTCACTCACTCACTCACTCAAACCAAAAATGGCCTCACTGAGCAGAGCTCTCTTCCTCCTCTCTCTCTTGGCCTTCACCGCCACAATCTCATCAGCCCACAACATCACTGCAATTCTCTCCGCCTTCCCAGAGTACAGCCAATACAACAGCTTCTTGACCCAAACAAGGCTAGCTGACGAGATCAACACCCGCCAAACAATCACTATCCTTGTCCTGAACAACGCCGCCATCTCCGCCCTCGCAGCCAAACATCCCCTCTCCGTCGTCAAGAACGCTCTCAGCCTACACGTCCTCCTGGACTACTACGACCCCACGAAGCTCCACCAAATCTCCAAGGGCTCCACCCTCAGCACCACCCTCTACCAGACCACCGGCCACGCCCCGGGAAATCTCGGCTTCGTCAACATCACCGACCTCCAAGGCGGCAAGGTTGGCTTCGGCTCCGCGGCTCCCGGCTCCAAGCTCGACTCCAGCTACACCAAATCTGTCAAGCAGATTCCATACAACATCTCAATTTTGGAAATCAACGCTCCGATCATCGCTCCCGGGCTCTTGACGGCGCCGGCTCCTTCCGCCTCCGACGTCAACATAACGGCGCTGCTCGAGAAAGCCGGCGCCAAGACGTTCGCGTCACTGATCATATCGAGCGGCGTCATCAAGACGTACCAATCGGCGGCCGAGAAAGGCTTGACGATCTTCGCTCCCAACGACGAGGCATTTAAGGCGAAGGGCGTGCCGGATCTGAGCAAGCTCACCAATGCGGAGGTGGTCTCGATCTTACAGTTTCATGCCGTTGCTGGTTACACTCCGATCGGCACATTGAAGACCTCCAAGTCTCCGATTAGCACTCTGGCGACGAACGGAGCCGGGAAGTTCGATCTGACCACGACGACAGCCGGCGACCAGGTCACGCTTCACACTGGAGTCGACTCGTCCCGAGTGGCCGACACGGTTCTCGACGCGACTCCCCTCGCGATCTTCACCATCGACAATGTGCTTCTTCCACTCGAGCTGTTCGGAAAATCTCCATCGCCGGCTCCGGGACTAGAGCCATCCGCCGCCCCTTCGCCGGCTCCGGTACTCGCTCCGACTCCCTCTACTGTTGAAGCGCCATCGCCTTTGCCCGCTTCACCGCCTGCACCGCCATCGGAGACGCCGGAGGGAGCGCCGTCTGAGGCTCCGTCTGCTGAGTCGGAGAACAGTAGATCGGCTAACGAAGCTGGTCACGTGGCCTCACCTGCATTGATGATGACTGTACTGGTCACTGTCTGTGCCATTGTTATTTCCTCCGTTGTCTTGTCCTGAACGGTATTTTCACGTGTCTGTTAATTTATTTTGTTTTATCTTTTTTTTTTTTTTTCTTCTTAATTATTTTGTTACTTTGTAGTGGTTTGAGGTTTTATTGTTATTATTTTACTCCGTTGTTACCGGTTAGAGACCATAGAGGCTTTTTATTTGTTAATTTTGTTTTTATTTATTGATATTTTTAATTTATGGGTATCTGCGCATTTTAGCAGTTGTGCTGGGAGAAGTAATCGCGTGTGTCGCGTCTGTTGTTATTAATATGGTGATTTGATGATATGTTGACGATTGTAAAATCCAAGCGCATGGATTGGTGTATTTGACAGTGAGCCAACATGCGTCCACAGTGCTCGTGGCACTGTGTATAACTTAATTTAATATACTTTTTCGAAATTTGTAGTGACCGCTTTATTTACAGTAAAATTCGTTCACTTATTTAATTCTCCGGCCAAGTATTTGTTCGCTCCTTCCAAAACTGAAGAACTGTCTTTGGTTTTTACCAAAATAAAACAAGAAATCTGTTTTTGGTACGGCGAAGGGACGAAAACTAAACTATACAGCTTCCACAAGCCAGCCAAAATTTGAACTTTGAAGTGCATGAGGCTTAGCTGAAGTTTCATGGAATAGGTCAGGCCGTTTTCTTTAAAACCTATGCTATGGAAAAGTAGGGTGAATAAATGGGTCAAATAATTAAATAAATATGTGGATTAGATCAGTTGTACCAACTCACTCGTATGCTGTCAAGCTCGTTGAAATGTGGTCCAACTCACTCGTATGCTGTCGAGCTCACTGAAATTCGATTCTCTTTTCCGTTTATTAGAGTAGTTAGAGTAGTTAGAACGGTTTTGTATAACACTGCACCTGGATGAGTAAATACTCTAGACCAATTGAAGGGAAAATGAAATTCCGAGAACATCCTGAGCTCTTTGTTGTTACTCCAAACACTACATTTTCTGTACTTTCACTTCTTATGTATTTGAAATTGAAAGCAGCCTAACAGAGGGTTCCAGCAAATTCAAAAATCAAACATTGAATTTGAAACCAAGTAGACCGTATGACCTAAAAAAAGAAGTAAGAAAGCAAGTAGACCAAGAACAACATAATCACCACCAATCATGGGCCAAGAGAGGCCCACCAAGAGGTAGGGCCTTCTTGACATCCTCCTCCTTGCATTATATCCCATTAATAACGCCTCATTTCTGATATAAAGAGCCTCTATAGTCTCTAATGAAAATAAATAGAAAAAAGATAACCAACACACAAAGGTCAAGGGGTAAAGCTCTCCGCACAAAACCAAGAGATAGGCATGGGAATCCCATGAAGTCTTTATATTTTCTCCTCTAGGTCTAGGAACCAAACCATAATTGAAATCGCCATTCTAATTTCGAAAGCTATAACATTCCAACGACATTCAATATTCCATTTAAAACGACAAAATGACAATCTAGTGAGAAAATCCCAATGTAAGGGATAAAAAATATAATAGTAAATGGTGATAATTAATAAGAAATTATCAAGTATTTTTTTTAAGTACAAGCGATAATTTAAACTAGAGGGAAGGAAGATTTCTCTCTCACACACACAAATGATGTCATGGGGATTTGAACCTGGAACCTCTTGTCTACAAGTCAATGTTCTTTTCTATTGAGTTAGACACTGTTGGTAGAAATGATCAAGTTAAGAACATTTACTTAGACAGTTTGATTCAATTTTGACGATTTTCAATTAGACTGAACCAAATCAAATCAAATATAATATGACGAACAAGTTAAGATATGATCCAATTCAATTCAAACTACATTTATTTTTTTTATACAAGTCGTACTGGAGGATGTAGAAATCAAACCTAGACCTGGATGAGTAAATACTCTTACCAATTGAGCTACGTCGGTAACTTTTTCACCCATCTGTACATAAATAATTGGGATTTTTGTAGAAATGTCACATAAACTTATACCTCATTTTCAATTTGTCACTTTAAAGAAAAATTTAAGAGAATATCACCTTAATTTTTCAAAATTCATGATTTGCCATATGACTTTAACACAATCCAATTTTCCATCGGTTTTAAGGGTATTTTAGTCTTTCTATTTTCAAGAAAAAAAAAAAGAGACCTCTCTCTCCCTGTCTCCCTCACCCCAACCCAACCCAACCCAACCTGCCCCCAAAACACATCGCACATGAGACCTCCTCCTTTCCCGTCTCTCTCTCTCTCTCTCTCTACAAATTTTCAATATGCAAATGGAAAAATACCAAAAATAAAAAAGAAGAAGAAAAAGGTGGATTTGGTTTGGGTAGGTTGAGGGCTAGTGAGATTTTTTTTAAATATAATTTTTTTTAATGATTTTTTTTAAAAAAAATACCCTTGAAAATGGAAATACTAAAATATCCTTTAAAATGGATGGAAGATTAGATGGAAGTGAGATGACAAATCTTGGATTTTGAAAATTTAAGGTGACATTTCTCTTAAATTTTTCTTTAAGGTGACAAATTAAAACTGAGATATAAGTTCAGGTGACATTTCTACAAAAATCCGTAAACAATTTGATGGCTTATTTACTATTCCACCCCTGAAACAGACACTTGGTCTCACTTTACCCCCTCAAACTGAAATTTTCTCATTTAACCCAATGAATCTCTAAAAATTGCTGAAATTTTCTCATTTTACCACTTTCGTATATTTTCATCCACAAAACCGTTAAATGTGATGACGTGACATGGATATTCTAGTAATTTTAGCTCCTTATTATCTTATCTCCTCTCTATCCTTCTATCCCTCTGCCTCTCTCTTCTATCCCCTCTCCTCGCCAAACCCAACCCCCACCCCAGACCTAATCCTCCATGGAATTACTCAACACACCCAAACCACCACCACCACCACCACTCAATTTTTTATTATTTATAAATCCTCAATAGATACTTCCCATATTCTCTTTTGGCAGAGAGAGAGAGAGAGAGAGAGAGAGAGAGAGAGAGAGAGAGAGAGAGAGAGAGAGAGAAAATAGCAAAAAAAATAACTCAGTGTAGAGAGAGAGAGAGATAAGATAGCTAAAATTACTTCTATGCCTATACCACATCGGCACCTTTAATGGTTTTATGGACGGAAGTGGTAAAGTGAGAAAATTTCAAATTTTTTTTAGGAATTATGGGGGTTAATTTAAAATTTCAATTTAAAGGGATAATATGAGACCGAGTGTCCGTGTTTCGAAAGTAAAACAGTAAATAAGCATAGGAGTGAAACAGTAAATAAGCATAGGAGTGAAACAGTAAATTAGCCTAATTTAAGGGGTGAGGTGGGGTGCGATGAGGGTTAGGTGGGGGAGAGAGAGAGAGAGATAAGATAGCTAAAATTACTTCTATGCCTATACCACATCGGCACCTTTAATGGTTTTATGGACGGAAGTGGTAAAGTGAGAAAATTTCAAATTTTTTTTAGGAATTATGGGGGTTAATTTAAAATTTCAATTTAAAGGGATAATATGAGACCGAGTGTCCGTGTTTCGAAAGTAAAACAGTAAATAAGCATAGGAGTGAAACAGTAAATTAGCCTAATTTAATTGATCGGTTACATTTTCTCTTTTTAGTGGCAACATCACTTGCAGAAAAAAATCGCCAAGGTTGAAGTCAAAGCGGTGCCGTCTCGGATGATACGTTCACACTTCACATACAAACAACAGATAACCGTAAACAAGAAAGGCGCAGCCCAATCTGCTACGATGGCGGCCGAGCCTCCTCGCACCGCCACAACCACAGCAACTCACGCGACGGCCAAAACACAAGTGAAACGACCCCGTTCCATTTTCGACGTCCCCGCCAACTTCTTCGACTCCTGCGAGCTCCTTCAATCTTCCAGCCTCTCTACTGTTTCCACATCCGAGACCTCTACCCACAACTCCGCCGTCGAAACCCTAGACGACTCCGAGCCTGAGCGCAATGAAGAAAACCGCTTCCAAAACGCCGTTGGAGCACCTCGGTGGACCTGCAACACTTGCAAAGCCGAGTTCGATTCCCTCGAAGACCAGCGCGCGCACTTCAAGTCCGATATTCACCGATTCAACGTAAATTAATTGTTCAATTTTACTTTCTTATTCTCGAATTGTTTATTTATTTATTTATTATTTATGTTGGAGGCTCGCTTTGGTTTGTGCAATCAACATTTGTAAATGAGGAAAAAGCGAAGTTCTTGGGGTTTGATACATTGTTTTGTTAGCATTTTGGATATGCTTATATTGCTTTTGCTTAAATTTTGAATTTCTTATCACATTTTTGTTTGTTAAATGGGAATGCTCGAACTTACAGCGTTACTGTCCAACTTTCAAATTGCTAATCAGCTGTTTGATGTGTGGGATGAGTAGAGTTATTGAATTTTTTTTTTCAATCTTTTTGGTACTCACTAAGTGAACTAATTCCTCAGCTGTAATGTGTATGTGTGCGTGTTTTGGGGCATGTAGTAATTATTTCGTTATATATGATGATAGGTGAAGCTAAGTGTTGCTGGAAAGAGTATTGTGAAGGAGGAGGACTTTGATGAATTAACATCTGATTCTTTTAAAGACTATGATGTCTCGAGTATATCGGGGTCGGAGGAAGATGAGCCTGAAAAGGGATTTGGCTCTTTGAAGTTTTCTAGGGCAAGTGCAAGTATTAGGCAGCAGAAGTTATTTATCTACCTTCAGACGGGGGAGCGAGTTTCTGTTTCGAAGTGTTTAATTACAAATGAGTCTGGACCTGAAAGTACTTTGTCATGTGAGGAAGTGATAGAGAGATTGAAAACGTTGGTTCATGAGCCTAGAGATAAGACCCATCTTAGAATTGTGTTGCTTGCAAGTGGTGGGCATTTTGCTGGTTGTGTTTTTGATGGTAACTTGATTGTGGCTCACAAGACCTTCCACAGGTTGGCTTATTATTTGTATTTACATTTCTTTATAATTTTTCTTTTTGTATTTATGATATTCAGAATTCTTTATTTTGCGGTGCAGATATGTTGTAAGGGCCAAAGCTGGAAAAAAACAGTCATCAAAAGATGCAAGTGGAAGGGCTGCACATTCTGCCGGTGCTTCTCTTCGACGTCATAATGAACTTGCTTTGAAAAAGGTATTTGACTTAGCGACATCTCTATTTGATTCGGTGACATTTCTAATTGATTTGGTGACAACCCTACATGAAAATAGATTGCCACTCCTTTATGATGGATATTCTAGTGAATCTTGTAGAAGTTGACTGATTTATAAGTCTTACATTCTAGGAAATTCAAGAGCTACTTGCTGCTTGGAAGCCATATTTTGATGCTTCATCTTGCGTTTTTGTTTCTGCTCCTTCTAGCAATCATCAACTGCTTTTTAATGGAGAGAAACCAATTTTTAGTCATCAGCAATGTCTTGTTCGAAATGTTCCAATGACTGTTCGGAGACCTACTTATAAGGAAGCTCGGCGTATATATGAGCAATTGACCCAAGTTGCTTACGAACTAGATGTGAATGAAGTTCCTTCAAGTTCCAAAGAGGACCCACCACATAGTTCAGGTATTGACCGCAACATCATACCAAGAATGGAAAAAGTCGACATTGTAGACAGTTTTGATTGTATGGAAAAAAATGAAGCTTTCCCAAATTATGGGAAGTCCGTCGAACTTCCTATATCAAGTGACAGTGATGGTGAGGAAATATCTTCATCAACACCTTTGCATGAAGCAGCACAGTCTGGAGATACTCATAAAGTGTTGGAACTATTGGAACAGGGTCTGGATCCTTGCATCAAAGATGAAAGGGGACAGACTCCATACATGCTGGCAAGTGAAAAGGAGGTCAGAAATACATTTAGACGGTTCATGGCCTCAAACCCTGATAAGTGGGATTGGCATGCTGCTAAGGTACCTAGTGCATTGACAAAAGAGATGGAGGAATCTCAAGCTGCTAAGCAGGTAAGTGTTTGCAGAACTTCACCTGGTTTCTGTGGATGGTTTGATGCATTGGCCAACTCATGTGAAATAGGACAAAAAACACATTTGTGTTCAAGAGTTTAAATATCTGGGGTGGCTATTTAAACCCAAAAATTCCCCCACTTGGCCTCTCCCTCCCACCCCAATATTTTTTGCTCTAATTTTACCCCTAAAAAATCAAACATGAAAATTATTATAAAAGAAATCCTCCAACCTTCTGATTTTGCCGCTGATTTTGGCAAATTTAATAATGCAGATCTTATGGGCCAATCATATTGGCCACTCCTCAATTAACCGGTTCAATTGGTCGACCTGGTCTGGTTTTGAGAATACTCTATTTTAGTGCGAAGAAAATGAGAAATATCATAATTGCAGGCATTTTAACTATAATCCTGCAGCTCATACTGAGATTTAAGAGTTTGGATATTTATGGTTGTCATTTATTGTAATTGGAACACAACCAATACTTTCCTGGGGCAGTGCCTGCACCTTTCACCATTTAAAACCTTATCTTTTAGGCCTCTTTCAAATTGTGTTTTGTTATGCATTGATACTTGACAATGAATGAATACGATCTGCTTTCATTTTTGGTTGTTCAGGCTGAAAAAGATGCCAAAAAGAAGGCAAGGGCAAAAGAATTGAAGAAATTACGAAAAGAAAAAGAAAAGAAAGCTCAGGTGCATATTTTGCTTATATTTGGCCCTTTTTCTGTTCCTCAAGATGTGTTGGTGGAGATTATCTTCTTTTTCCTGGTGACTTGGTTTTGATTCTAGTTTTTCAGAAGAATCTTTTAGAATGCCATTTTTAACAGTTGTGATTTATGCACTTGCATTGGTTGTCCATAGCCTTCATGCAGTGATTCAATGAAATTGATTTGTAGGTTGCATCCGTTGATTCACACCTCCCCCAGCATTGGTCGATTGGTGGCATTGGAAAGAGAGAATTGCTAATTTCATTTTCTATTTTGGCTCTTTTTCTGTTGTCTTCTAAAAAATGAAAAGTAGAGTAAAATTTTGGAATAATTTATGTGAGGATTTCTTTTGCGGAGTTGTGAGGAAGGTCTTGTTGATTGTAATTCAGAAGGAACAATTGACATAATTGTGTCAGCTGTGTATAGTATTCCTATTTTTCCTCCATCTATATCTTCTTAGTTCAATCTTTCTACATCATCGTGATGTAAATATGCAGGCTCAGGCTGCTGTTTCCCAAAATGCTTTGACGGATTTACGAAACCAAGTACCCTCTACATCTTCTATTCTTAAGGGAAAGCCTCAATCTAGCTCTGGATCACAGATCTCTAAAGAGGTCAGTTAGATTTTCGATGACTGCTTATATTAAGCCTTTGAAACTAGGCTGGCTCATGTTCGCAATAGCTTCTTACTTTACTTTCCACTCTTCATTTATCTTGATTAAAGTGCGCATTCTTCCCCCCTTTTTGATTCCAAATCAGGAGGAACTAAAAAGGGCACAGGCAGCTGAGAGGGAGAAAAGGGCAGCTGCTGCCGAGAGGAGAAGAGCAGCAGCTGAAGCTCTTAGTGCTCAAGGCAACAGCACTGCCACTGCACCAAGCACCGCACAACCCAAAAGTGGGGTAGCTGGCGAAATTAACTGCTCCTGTTGTAATGTATCACTGGCTGGTAAAGTCCCTTTTCATAGGTATAATTACAAATACTGCAGCACATCATGCATGCATGTGCACAGAGAGATTCTTGAAGATGGATAACTTAAAAAACTGCTTGTCTTACTTTACTTTCTTCTTGTTATCTCATTTGCAAAGCATTCCGTTCGGTTCTTCTGTATCATCTTTGTTCTGTCATTCTACAATATTGAAGTAATTGAAGCCTTTCAACGATTTAAAAGCAAATAGCTTAACGGTTGCTTTTGTAACAACCAAGGGTTATTTTTGAAAGATTTCAGCTGGTGTGAATGAATTTCTTTTTGGGATATTTTTTCAGTGGGACACGATTTATTTGTAGAGAAAAAAGAAATATATAGCAGCAGTGCGATTAGCTGCTTCATTAACTTGACGGTGGCCCAATGTGTTACATGCTGTTACTAATTTATGTGTTATAATATAGTTGTGGTTATAGAGCGGTGTAATGGCCATATTGAAGAATTTCTTCATTTCATGCTTTATTTTTTCATGACATCAAAATTACTGACTGGATTTTAGGTCAATAAATTTGACATCTTGTGAATTACAAATTACATTTTTCTTACCCATAAAATATTGGATTTTGTAAAATTAATTTTTAAAAAGAAACATATGTGGGTTAGGTTAGTTGGCCAAGGTAGTGAGTCTGTCCTCTTGCATCCAAGTTCGAGCTCCGTTCTTGTAGATTAGATTAATTTAGAGTAATTTAATTTTTTGTTTGTATAAAAAAAAACTTTTAAAAAGAAAATTAATTGAATTCTATTTTGTAGTTTTTCCTTTTAATCTAAAGAACTTTTTATGACAAAATAACAATCTTCCTTTCTCAACGATAGTGGGCATCCATGGCTCGAAATCCATGTTTCGTGTCCAAGAAAAGAAAGTCTCAAAACGGTCCATTCACAGAGTATATTGGCTACTCTTAACAGATAATTCAAACCCAACCCAGAATTTCCATAAGATCAAAAGTGACGTTCGTGATGCTGAACCTGAGCACAATGAACAAAGCCCTAGATCTGCAACATTTGCAAGGCCAAATTCGATTCCCTCCAAGACTAGCGCTCACACTTCAAACTTTTAAAAAGAGTATAGCCGAAAGGGACCCTTATGGCTACTAATTTGTGTGGATTATTGAAAATTTGTTTTTAAAAATAGTGTATTAAACATGAAAAATACATACATACATGTATAATACAAGTATTAAATGTGAAAATGCTAAATTCTTTATAAAGAATAATAGAGACTTGGACAATGGCCTAATAATAATGGATAAGACTCTAAAATACTCTTATCGATAAACAAAAATCGGGGCAAAACAATTAAAAAGAAGTTCACAGTATTAATATAAAGAGTTTAGCCTCGCGGCTATACTATTTATAAAAAAACTAAAAAAGATCCCCAGTACAGCCTCACGGCTATACTCTTGTTTTTTTAAAAAAATCCGGAGTATCTTCGCGCGGCTATTCTATTTATTGAAAAATTTAAAAGGACCCTAGTCAAGCCGCACGGCTAGACTCAAGACTAATACTATTTATATTTTTTAAAAAAAAACCGAAAACCAGATTCGCCCTTAGTGTATGAGTATAGCCGCGCGGCTATACAATTTATAAAAAAGCAGGACCGTCCTTGCAGTTCGCCCACCGCACGTAAAATAGTATAGCCGTGCGGCTATACTGTTTTTTAACGTAGCCGCGCCGCGCGGCCGTACTCTTTAAGCTTATTACATTTAAAATGATTATAGCCGCACGGGCATACTATTTATTAATAAAAAAATAAAATAAAAGTACCCTTCTAGTTGCATTAGTTTATATTAACATTGTTAGTTATGTTTGTATGTTGCCTTTATTTAAATTTTCAAATTTCTGTTTGTTAAATGGTGATGCTTGAATTCACACAAGCATTTTGTCCAACTTTCAAATTGCTAATCAACTCGCAGGTTAGTTTAGATATCAAAAGTTGTATTATTCCAAGCTGTAGTCTAAATTGCTTTAAATTACGAAAGTGAATAATCAAACTCAAATGCAGAACAGACACACTATCCTAACCAACTTGTTTAACCTATATATTCATTTGTTTTTAGTAATATATTGTGATACCTTCGTTGCATTCATTTGTAACCAAAATTTATTAATTAGCAGCTGCTCCTGAAAATTTTATTGAAGAAAAAAAAAACCAATGTTTTAATGTGAATTTAAGCTTTCTTTAACAATTTTTTGAAACTGTCAATTTAAAAAAATTTCACCATGGTGAAATAATTAGAATGATTTCTTTTTTTGGGGGGGGGGGGGGGCGGGGGA